TTAATCATCTACCAGGGCCATCTATTTGCCCTAAAATTACACCTATGCTCATGCTCAGGCTGACTGCTACGGCTGAGCTAAGCTCATGAGTTGCCGCGTAAGCAAAGCGAAAAAGCTCACTGCCATGAGCAGGCTTCCACGACACACTGCGGATGGTTGCGAAATCCATTTCGCACCACCGATCAGAGACCCTGGGATGGTCTGATTCCCCTTGCACATACCAACAAATAATGGTCACCCATGGTATCAGACTGGGGAATGATCATTCCCCTGTAAATACCAAGAAATACTGGTTTCAACCATGGTTCTTAGGTGGTGCGAAGGGATTTCGCAACAATCCACAGTAGGGACTCATAGCGTCTTGATGAAGTTGCTCATCTCAAGAGGGGTCGAGAGTGGATCACCCGTGGCGTTCGAAGGGGGCGATTCTACTTTCGCTTGGAGGTTGGGTCGTGGTTTCTTGCAAAGCTCATTGGGCAACGGATCTTTAGACTTTACTTTGGTTGAAATGAAGGTGTTTTCCACTAACCCCCCAAAAGCGAACAACTTTTTGCAGGGGGGTCGTTGCAACCAAGAGCTGGATTTTGGCCAATGCCAAGGTGATACACGACCCTGGTCCCCTGCCTCGTCGCGCCGAAGCCGGGGGCGGTGGCTTCGATATTTCTAGGTCCCCAGCTAGGTGGCCCTTCACCCCGTTTTTGGTTGGGAGGGTTCCCCTAAAATAGACAGCAAAAAGTTGGTACCCTTATTACCTAGATTTTGAACCATTCAGGGATATTGGAATGGGAGTCACCGGTTGGCCCCTTTTGAACAACCCATGGGTTAGCCTCTTTCCAGGGCAGGTGACTCCGCAAAGAACGCTGCCAGTTGAACCTTCCAGGTGTGAATGGCTTCCTGTCCTTTGGCACGATTTCCATCAAGATCCCGCATACCCCAGGGTCACACCAAGGAGCAACTAAATGGACAAGGAGTTAGGACAGATGTCATGAGCAAAGTGCCCCTTTTCAAGTCTCCTGGGCGTAGACGGTAGGCCGACACTCCTCCCTTGACGTCTTGAGGGGGGTGCGTCGGGCCCGCAGTTTGAAAGCCTTTGACTCTGCACCCGAGACTCGCGGTCAGGCGCTCACAGAGCCACTGCCAGTCCAAGCTGGGTTCATTGTTCTGCTCATGGGTGGAAGAATGCCAAAAAAAAGTTGACCAGTCGTATGGGATGCTTCCGCAGCACACACTGAAGCTCCGCAACCAATTGGGAAAGACGCGGCCACGCGAAGAACCGCGCAGAGTTCGTCACATCGACCGGCGGGTTTGACCAAATAGCTCTGCATATGTGCGTGTCCATGAAGCTGTTCAATAATACACTCGAAGGTCCAGCCAGTTGCAGAAATCCAGCTGGTGTACCTCTAAACACCCAAATTCACATCCTCCCCCTGTGCCTTGAAGACAAGCTCATTCGGGATTCGCCTTGAAGTACGTCAATCGCTGTCACTGGATACTGAGTATGCCTACGCAAAATCAATAACATGCATATGCATACAAAAATCGTCGATGTGCATAGACGTATTCTTACTATACCCATGTGTCAACCGCCGTATTGCTTCGCTTGCGATTTAATTTGCTACTTCCTTGGTGAGCTTATTGCTTCATGTCAGGGATCAGTCTCTGTATATGTGTTGGGCGGTTTCCAGCCATAGCCTTACGGAATTTCGCTTTTGGAGTTTGGATTCATGAGCCATCCCACCAAGGAGGTATTGACAAACAAGTGTTTGAGCAATGGGCAATCTTGCCAGGGTCTCGCTTTGCGTGCGCCCCCTATCTGTTTTGCAGGCTATCGGTTTTGTCGGTTTTGCAAGCCGGGTATCGATTTTGGGTACCCTCCTATCGGTTTCTGCCCGTGTTATCAGGTCACGCATCTTGTAGCCACAGGTTGGCATGACGTGAGCCGCCTCTCGTTTGCAACAGCCGCGAAGCAAGTTCACAGCTTCCAGGCCTGGATTTGGCCGATGTCCGTTCTCTCTCAGCTCAGATCCAGAAAAGAAACGAACCAGGGTGGACTTTGACGAAAGTCAAGTTACTTGGGTGTGGCTCAAGATTTAGGAGCTAGGGTTACGCAGGTCTTGGTCTTTGCTTCCATTTACCTTAGGGGCCATTTTGGGTACATGTTTTTGAGCCACAGCCACTTCGAATCCGCGACGTCTCGATTTTCTGGAGCCTGGGGCCTTCCGCGGCCTTGTGAATTGCCGGCAGCGGTTCTCGCGGAAACGGCGCCTCGAGGAGAAAGATGCGAGGGACTCGCAACTCGGCACTTTGGAACTCTGCGGTCTGTAGCTTTTGAAGGGGCAACTTTCGCACATGTTTGCCAGTGTCTTCCATTTTGTGTGCCTGCATGCAGTCTTTCACAGGCAGGGCCCTGCTCAAATGACTTCAGCCAAGTCTTGTTGCTTTCTCCCAAGCCCTCATGGCTAGTCTCAAGGCAGATCGCGTCTAGTCGGCCACATTTGGACATTTACTTTCTTGCTTTTTAAGGTAAACGATGCGCATTTGAGCAGCGCCCAAAGGTGGCGCTGGCTAAGCAGGAATGTAGCAAGGGCTAGAGGACATGAATACCAGAGTAGAACCAACCGTCGATGGGCTTTGGTCGCTGCTTTTGATTTGGCCTCCACCTGGAGCCAGGGTTGCGCAAGGGTGCGCTCAGAGGCATGAAATCCTGGCTAAGGTAAATGCCTCGGTTTGATTAGGGTAGTATTTGTTTGGGGGTACTGAAAAGTATCTTAGAGCTTTGAAACGCAGGTGAGTGCCAACTGGTTGCCAACTGGTGGATACCCCTGATCAGATGGGAGTCCTGCTCACTAGCGGGCATGTTGTGCATTTGTTTGTCGGGTGTGATTGCGCCCGGACGTTTCAGCAAACGGTAGGCTGTCTATGTGGGTTTGTCCTTTTTTGGTGTGTTGAGTTGCTTTAAAAGGCAGAAGGTGGGACCTCCCCGAATCATACCCCCGAATCATACCCCGAATCATACCCCCGAATCATACCCCTTAAAACGTATGCTGCAAGATGCTACTGTTCTTCTACCGTTTTGTGTTGTTCACTGTCTCCACAACAACCACCACCAGCGCTACCCAATACTACCACTACCACTGCCACTGCCGCTACTACTACTACTACTCCTACTACTCCAATTACTACTACTACTGCTACTACCACTACCACTACTACTACTACTACTACTACTACTACTACTACTGCTACTACCGCGACTACGAGTATTACTATCACTACTAACTACTACGACTACAACCTTTACTACTACTTCTACTACTACGACTACTACTACTACCTTTATTACTACTACTACTACGACTACAACCTTGACTACTACTACTACTACTACTACTACTACTACTACTACTACTACTACTACTACTAGTACTACTTCTACTACTACTATTCCTGCTGCTGCTGCTGCTGCTGCTGCTGCTGCTACTACTCACTACTACCACATACATCATTCTGAGTCTGTAATCAGTGCCGTTTTGCACCTAGCCGAATCATACCCGCGAATCATACCCGAATCATACCCGGACAATGAGCTTCCCCTGCCAAGGCTAGTGCTAAGTCTTTTTCACAGCGTCCGCACCACTACAGCCGCTGCTGCTTATGCTACAGCTGCTACCACTACTTCTGCAACTGCTACTACTACTACTACTACTACCACTACTACTGCTACTACTACTACTACTACTACTACCACAGCTACTACGAGTTTGTAATCAGTGCCGTTTTGCACCTAGCCGAATCATACCCGCGAATCATACCCGAATCATACCCGAATCATACCCGCGCAATGAACTTGCCTTGCCAAGGCCAGCGCCAAGTCTTTTCAAAGCTTCCGCGCCACTACGTCGCTGCTTCTACTGTTACTACTACTACTACCACTACTACTACTACTACCACTACTACTACTACTACCACGACTACTAGTACTACTACTACTACTACTACTACTACTACTACTAGGACTACTGCTACTACTATTTACTACTACTACTACTACTACTACTGCTACTACTACTACAACAACTACTACTACTACTACTACTAACTACTACTACTACTACTACTACTACTACTACTACTACTACTACGACTACTACTACTACTACTACTAGTATTGGTACTACTACTACTACTATTGTTACTACTACAATATTACTACTAGTACTACTACTTCGGCGACTACTGCTTCTGCTACTACTGCTGCTGCTGCTGCTTCCGCGAACCATACCCCCGAATCATACCCCGAATCATACCCGCGAATCATACCTGCGAATCATACCCCGTACTCAAACCTTCCTGCCCGGCCACCCTAAAAAAATACAAGCCCATGTGTCCTTTTCTGAGGCATTTAAACAGCCCCTTTTGGGACCACTTGAAAGCGAGTTTCCTTCAAGTCGGGATGTTGGCAATTTTAAGGAACCCTGTGGTTGAAGGCAGTGGCATGGAAGCCATCAGGAATCCCGAAACTCTTTTTTGCGAAGACTGCAGGGTGCTTCGATAGAATCGCCTGCGGGAGGGTAACACCTGAACTTTTGCGCAATCTCCTGAAACCTCCCTCGGACACGCACAACCAATTTGCATCCGCCTGCTTTAGGTTCTCGGGGTTTCAAGTGGTTGAGAGTGTAAAATGGCTTCTATGTGTCCGTAAATTCAGCCACCCTGAGCCACCCCTTGGCTGTCAAGACTGGTTGTCGCATAGCGCCCACTCCAGAAGCATAGATTTAGCAACGGTCATCCATGGCTGGAGCGTCATGTGGTGAGAAGCCTTCTTTTCTTCGGGTTGGGATGAGCGTCATGTGGTGAGAAGCCTTGTTTTCTTCGGGTTGGGATGAGCGTCATGTGGTGAGAAGCCTTCTTTTCTTCGGGTTGGTAGGGGTGGTCATCGTGTTTGGGAAATGGTCACTGGCCTCGCAAGAGCGCCGCATGGCCATGGGATATCTGGCGAGGCCTGTCGCTGGGCCCGGCGAGGGCAGAGAAAGTGGGCAGCTTCTTTGGGGACGCGCTGGTGCGCTTTAAGGCGCCGGATGCGCTCTTCAAGGGTCGTTTTTGTTTTCCCCCCCCCTTTTTCGGTGTTTTTTTTGGCTGTTTTGTTTGTTTCTCTCTTTTTTATTTTCTTGGTTGTGTGGTTGTTTTTGGTGTTGTTTTTTTCTTTTGGGATTTCCTGCGGTTCTTTTTTGCTTCCCGACCTGGTCCCCTTCCCTTGGCCTCGAATTCTGGGAGTTCCATGGGCACGCTCCGAGTTCTGAAAGTGCTGGTTGTTGGGTTCCTGTGGTAGAACAGCCGCTCACACGCACCCGCTCAGCGCCTTTTATTTTTCCAATGCCCGACCTAAGACGCACGCTCACGTGCACAGTGAATTTGCAAGTCTTCTGAACGGAGCCCTACGATCCCTGAGGAATACCAGTGCAGTTGTAGGTCTCCTCAGAACCGCCCCTGAAAAACAAGGGGAATTGTGGCTTGTTTCGAGAACTTACAGCTTGAGGGGGCGTTGTTTACTACTGCTTTACCATCCGGTAAATTTGGGTGTTTTTTTCAATTCATATGGCTTTTGCAGTTCCAGAGTAGTGAAAGTTAAATTAGGAAATTAGTTTTGGCCCAGAAGAAAGCTCCTCAGGGGCCAGGCGCAAGTTTAATGAATCCATGTAGGCCCCTAATATCTTCTGGCTGTAGCGTTCCAGTACGCAATGCGCATTGATCAATCGCCACTCTTCATTACCTGCTTCGTTCACGTTTGCGGAATCAACCGTGGGTCTCTTCAAAGGTTTCGCCAAGGCCGGCAGAGTTTACCTCAATTCAGAGGATTTCGTTTGCTGACGGGGCGGGCATCTGAAATGTATGGTACGGGCGGCAAACGTGGTTGTTTTCAAAAGCTGTTGCGCTAAGAATTGCAGCTTTTTTTTCCCTGTTTTCCCTGTGGCACGGTTCAACACAGGCCGGCCTGTTTAAAGACGCCTGGGTAACTGGGTATGGGTCAAAATTAAAGCACCAGGGGACCACTTGTTAAGGTCATTGTTTCCATTTACCAGGGTGCCATTTTGGGTACCTATTTTTGACGCCAACAGATCTCGAGCGGCAACAATAGGCTGAGCGGGAGCAGTTGCAGGAGGCCTCGCCGGGCGACATTCTGCTGGTCAGCAAGGCGTGGGTTCGAGCCAGGGGTGGCAACCAAGAAAACTCAAGAAAAACCAAAAAAGAACTGAACCCCAATCAAGAGTACCCAAACGAACCCCAGAGAAAACCCAGGGGGACACCTCAATCCAGGAGCTGATTTGGAGCAAACAAATCAGAGGAAGTTAGGGGAGCCCCAACCAAGAAAACTCAAGAGAAACCCAAAAAAAAGCTGATCATCCAGGGGTGCCTCCTCATCAACTCATGCTAAGTAGAAAGCGGCCGCCTGACCCGCACGCCGTAGAGAGGGCAAAGCCGCACGAATGGGGATTCGTGTGCAATTATTGTGCTTTCATTGGTGCCCAACGCTTTTAGCATTGCGCGTTGCTCTGAGCAGGTAGGCACCGCGGGCCCTTCAAATGGTAATTATCCAGCCACACCTGAAGAATCAAGCCCAGAGAGGCATTCTTCGCCGTGGTTTCGAGGAGCAGGAGCGTACCAGCAAAAGCGTCGGCAGCAGCTGAATGAGAGGTACAGGTGGCAAGCACCATGTGAATCGAGCACAGCAGCTGAGTCGGAAGGCATCAGGCAAATCCATTGGTGGAAGCTGCGGCCGAGGCTGCTATTTTTGCATATGCATGTGAATAGATGGATTAAGATATATGTCGTACCGAACGCGCTTGCGACCCAGGCTGGACCTGACGAAAGATAGCCCCCGGAGTGCAATCGAAGAACTCGAAGCAAGGCGTTTAACACAGCCGCAGACCAGCTTCTCTTCGCGCGTGAGGGACACGCCCATTGCCCTTTGCAACGAACGCGTCCGTGTTGCCTACTCCCACGGTGCGACCGGGACAAGGCAAGGCTATCAAGACTCTTCCTCAGAATCATCCCCTTTTTGATTGTTTGCTTTGCCGGGGTCCCTTTTTTTGCACTAACCAGGCAAAAAAGATACATTTTTTGCTGGGGTCCCTTTTTTCCAGCCTAGGACTGGCGACACCGCCAGACACGGTCGGAGGCGCTTCGTCGGATGGCCAGTGGCCTTGGCTCAGGCCGCTGGGGCCCGTCGCTTCACCTGACCGTGTTTTGTACTTGGCGGTGTCAGGCTTCCACCTCGCCTTGAGCATGTGTAGTGAGAATTGGCCACATACCGCATGAATGCCGCAATCTGATTTGACAGGCACAACGTGTTCGTGATGGAAAAGTCATATGCGGCGCTTGGAGCAAGGTGACAACTAGCCTGCCGCATGATCTGCAAAGTGTATGTCCTTGGGGGACATGTGTAGATGCGTCGATTAACATCGCCCAGACCAAATTGGTGTTGGGAGCTGACATCGGCCCGCCTCTCTCCCAGATGGGCCATCCTGAAGCGATCAGAAGGCCAGGGACAACTCGCAGCCTCAGGAAGAACTGATCAGGCGCTTGTTCATTGTGGGGATGTGCCGGTTCCTGCCACGTGTGCACAGGTCCTTTGCAGCTGTGCCGCCCATACAAATGATCGGCCGCATTGCCACCAGGTATTTCTCGGGCCTTTTGCCTTGTGCTGTGTGCGTGGGGGGTATGCCTAAGTCATGATCAGAAGGTGAGGGGGGGTGTGAGAAATAGGCCCATAGTGACATGTTGTATCGCCTTTTGACGGCTCCAAACCGGGGTCCGCTGATTTGTCAACCACCCAGCTGCACAGAGTGAGCTCAGGCACGTCTTGCATGAGCTCTAGTCTCTGCCCTGCGCATAGTCCGCAGCTGAAAACGTGTTGCCGCACAAGCATGGGGTGCACCTGTCCCTTTTCCCGACGCGTCAGACTTGGCACCCGCCATCCATACTGTGGATGGACGAAATCCTACACCACCTAAGGTTCCCTGGAATTGTTATTCTCCTGTAAATGGCAAAAAACACATAGTTTCCCATGATTGAAAGTGGTGCAGTATTTTTGTCCTTCCACAGTCTCAGCTTCTTTTTTTGTCTGGCATCAGATGCTTTCAATGAGGAGTGTGATGAGTCATTAGCCAGGACTGAGACACATGTGGGACATGGTGTGTATTCGCCCCGTTCAAATCAGTTCTCAGAACACCTCCGGCATGGGCCGAGGCTCTTGTCGCAGGAGTTAGAACCACCTTGCCGAGACGCAGGGGGAAAGCCGAAGGTGCATCCAAGATCCAGAGTTGCATTTTGGAGGTCCGAACATTGAAATCGCAGGTGGTATGACCATCTCATAGGCGACGAGTCGGCACGGACTGCCTCATTGGGTCTCCCCGCTTGCCTTGCAAGCACATTCAGTGACCATGCACCCATCCCAGCGCTGAATGGGCGAGCTTGCCATCAGCTTGGCCCTCTGAGCTCAACATCTTCCATGTCTTTGCTACTGGCCGGGCTTGTTGACTTGTCAGTGCGTGGGTGTAAAGACCAGCATAAATCAACTTTTGGCTTCCGACAAATCTTTGGACGTGTTGAATCTTATAGAGTTGGATTCCGTCGCTCAGTTTTCTTGCCGGGCATCATGCCACTTGGTCTGGGATGCCTGCAGCGGGTGGAGTGCCCGCAGTTCTGCGACCATTTGGCAGCAACTATTCCTCCCTTGGGTTTCAATTATTCTAAGAGCGCACCTCGGCTGCAGCTGGCAGCTGGCAGCTTTGAATCATCGGAGTTTAGCCTCGAATGCGGCTGGCCAAAAGGGATGTTGACCTGTCGCCTATATTTCGTTGTGTGCTTCCGTCTTCAGCTGCTTGGGAGTCGAAAAAAACATTCAACTAACAACGTGGCTCTATTGTTGCATATTCAGATCATCCGAGTCACAGCTAGGTTCAGCTTTTCTGTCGCTCAATCGGTTTGCATCGCATAGGCACAAGTATTGGCTCAAGCTTTGCAATGTCGAGGATGATGGTCCAGCGTGCAGAAGAAGGACGGGGCACTTGGCTTCGCATTCCTTGTCGGGGGGTTGTTTTGCGAGGGCTCCTCGGCGTGGGCCTATGGACTGTTGTCGTGGCAGGAACTCTCAATCAAAAACCTGACGAGCATGAAGTGATTGACTAGGTCCCCCAGCTAGGTGGGGGGAGGGTTCCCCTAAAATAGGGGGGGGGGGAAAAAACGGCACCCTTATTCTAACCTCTCTACCGGAGGACCCAGTTGAGAGGAGTGGAAGGCGACTTTCTGGTGGCCCTGCCGGAGGACTTCAAGTGATGGGCAACTCTGTTTGCAAGCAAGCTGTATCCACGCTATCAAAAGTGGCAGTGCACCACGAAAGAACATAGGGGCAGCCAAGAGTTGTTGGTTCTTGAGCGTGTTGGGCAGTCTGAGCATGTAAGGCTGATCGTCAGTACAAAGCTCGGCGTCTTCACAGATTTGAGCAGCTGGTCGCGGCTTGCCTGCCTGGTCTGTGGCCGGCTAGCGGGAGGGCCTTTTGCCTGCTTGTAGCTTCCTGCTTTGCACCGTTACACTGTGCCATTATAAGATCAAGTGCAAGTGAGGCTTAGTTTCTTTTTGGAGGGGAGAGCTTCTGGCGGCAAGCTGCAAGTTGCCATCTGGTTGAAACAAGAAACCATTGACTTTCAGTCTGTTCAGGTGACAATCTTTCCTTGATCGAGCCCTCTTTTGAGGAGAGCTTGTGCTTCAGGACGGGCTTGTTGTCGGTATGGTTGTGTTGCTTGCAGCGTGGTTCCAGCTGTGATCTTTCCATGAAGGAGTTTGTGTGAACCTCTTGGACGCCACCCTGCTGCGGCAGAGCCGCTTGCAGACTTGACACGTGTACCCCTCAGTAAGAAAACGTCATGAGGTCCAACTCGTTTCTTCCAGTGCCTAAATTGAAGGGCACCATCCACTGCGGTGCCCGCAGAGAGGGCAAATAGCCAAATAGCTGCCTCATACCACAGCCCTGGTTGGTTTGATGTACTGGGGGCGTTGCTGTTATGCTGACCTGGGCACTGCGGCCAAGTCATGTTGACCAGGGCAGTGTTCAAACTACACCCGTCTGCAAAAAGCCCCTGAGGATGTTGGGATTCAAGACCTCGCGAAGGTTTGGGTGGGACCTGGCTGGCACACACATTGCGCGCAGCCGCCCTGCCTGTTCACAACTTTGGAGTCGAAGCATCCTGTTTAGCCTAAAGTTGCGGCTGTTGCGGGTCCGACAGACATGCAGGTGAGACTTCTCAGTTAAGTGCTGTGACTGCTAGCTGGCCTGGTGCAGTGCCGATTGCACCCGCCATTGCGGCCGGAGCGTACCTTGCAAACCCGAAGCCGTTGAAGGCTGGAAGCCAAATTGCGCAGAGCGAATGCACAATCGGCTGTAACCTTAGGCTTGTTCTAGCTGCCAGCTTCTTTTTTCAACACATGCTAACTGCAATTTCTTGTGTAGACGATGCATCTGTGACTCAATGTGTGGCTTGCTGAAGGAGAAGGATCATGGGTAGCACTGTAGCACCATCCGAACGCGCCTGGCTCGTGCAGCGGGCGAGTTTCTCGCACTGGCACCTTTGTAGCTTTGTCGCAGAGCATTCGGTTGGTCGAGGGCCTCGGGTCTGATCTGAACTCATGCCGAGGAGCAGGGACTTGAGTTTGACTGGGCAGCCGTGGTGACCTGTTTGGGCCGGAGAGAAGAAGAACTGGGCGGTTGTGTTTTGCTTGCAGGTCGTCCAGCTTGTCGGTGACAACGTGTCAAGCGAAACAACCTATTGTTTGATTGAGTTGGATTTCCCCATGATGCTCAAACGGTATGCAGGTTGGTCTATTTGCAGTTTTGCCTTTGTCCGGTCTGTCTTGCAAGTCAGCAGTCAAGTAAATTGACGACTGGTGCAGTGCAAGCACGTGTGAAAATTGTTAGGGGAGCGTTGCCTCAATTGCCGCTGCCTCCAGGTTCATTAAGATATAGAGCGATAGGCTGGTGAATCACTTTCTTTCGGTCACCATCCTTCTTTCCTGCGCTTGACAACCTCTCCCAGCATGCAAGTCCCAGAATTATAGAAGTGAGCAGAATTCCTCGAAATTGGGTAGGTGGGAGAGGTATTGGCTTCTCCTCCTACTTCCTCGCTGCTAAGAGGCAGG